ATTGCTCAAAGGCTTAACTCTTTCACAGTTGTTGTCAACAATACCATTGTCCCAACAGCGCTGATACTCCAAGAAACATAGTCATGGCCACCACCATTTCTATTACTTCCTAGAAAGGTAGAAACTGTGACCTTTTAGAACTTCTTCTGACCTTGAATACTGAATTCCTGCCATTTATGTTTTCTCCCTCTCCTGTATCATGAGGACTAGGGCCATCCAATGAAGCTGATTGAAAGGAGATGTAGATCCAACCAAAGGAAGTACTTTTTCATATAATACATTATTAACTTGTACAGTTCCTTACAATAAGGTGTGGTGATAGACACTAACCTGGGTCTCTTTAAAAGGGGTGGAATTAATTCATGGAAAACAGTACTATCAGGGGCTATTGGTCTTAAAAGTTCAATGTTACTTCCAGGTTGGAAGCAGCATGTCTCCAAATACTAGTTGCAGCAAGGCTGTGGCATCTCCTTGTTTGTGAGCTCCTCAGAGGCACACACTGGGCACTATGAGAGACAAATGCTGAACTAAGATAGATCGTGGTCTTATCCAGCAGGTCTATTACTATGTTATTATTTTTACAGGGGGAAGCACATGAAAACTGTAGTGTAAGCCTTGAAACAGGCATTTCAATTTAATTCAGACTCCCAGAACTGAGCTGCAAAATTCAGATGACTAGTAGAAAGCAATAAATATTTGGCTTTCCTGTATCTCTGCTGCCATTTACTGATCATCCAGCTATCTGCAGTCCAGGTCTGTTAACCCTAACCTTCATTCTCAACAAATCTGATAGTTTGCAAAACCTGTGGCCAAATAAAGAGTGAGCTTTGGGTTAAGCTTAAAGACGGTGACTAGACAAAGGTCATCCAGAAGGATGTCAAGGTTGAACTGAAATTTGAAGATTAGTTTTTATAACCTTACTCATCGTAGAGTACAGTGATTGCAAGCATGGTGGTTTCTTAACTAGAGGAAGTGGATTATCTCGATCTATTTCAAATTAGATACAGGTAGTCCTTGACTTACAACAATTGAAACTGGAATTTCCATCGCTAAGCGATGCGGTCATAAAACATCATGAGACATCATGTGACCACATTGCTTAGCGATGGCAATCCCAGCAACCCCTCTAGCTGTCATTAAGCAAATTTCACCAGTCATTAGCCAAGGACCCACCCCAATCCAAGCCATTCCAGGCCCCGAGCCTCAGTAAGATAAGGGACTGCCTCCAACTCCCCCCACCTGCCCAGCTCCCCCACCTCTGCCCTTTTGGCCCCCCTGCACCCTGCCTTGTGGGGAGGCAAGCAGCCCAGAACCCTCTGGCTCTGGGGTGGCCTGCCATGCCCCAGGAAGCTGCAGTTCCCCAACCCAGTCCCAGCCGCAGTCGCCCTCAACACCCTGCACTTGGAGACCACTGCTGCCCTGCGCTCTGCTGCCCCAGCTGACCTTTGCCATCTTCTTGCTCCTGCTGCTGACAAGGCATGCCTGCCCTGGCTTCTGGGTTGGGCTGGGGCCAGCTTTGCATTGTGGAAAAAAAAAAGAAGTAAAAAGCAGCCCCGGAGTCATGGCACGCCAAAAAGCCCCTTTGCCCTGTGGCTCAGGAGCTGCTTTTTACTTTTTTTTTTCCCCACAGTGCAAAGCCAGCCCCAGCCCAACCCAGCAGCCAGGGCAGGCATGCCTCATCAGCAGCGGGAACAAAAAGATGGCAAGGGTTTGTTGGGGCAGCAGACCACAGGGAAGCAGGGGGCCAAAAAGGCATAGATGGGGGGGAGATAGGCAGGTGGAGGGAGTGTCCCCACGGTCATAAGGGGAGGCAGGCTGTTAAGTGCCCAAATTTTGATCACATGACCTCGGAGGCACTGCAACAGCTGTAAGTTTGGGCATGGGTCATAAGTCCCTTCATTCAGCGCTGCCGTAACTTTGAACAGTCACTGAATGCATAGTCGTAAGTTGAGGACTACTGTATGGGGTTGAAACTGCTTTGGTCATTCTGATGAATGATCTTTAGATAGGGACAAACAGACTTTTGGTTCTTCTTGACCTCTAAATCTCTCAGGTCAGTTGACTATATCTTTCTTGATCATCAAACATATTTAGGATCTGGAGGCACAATTTTGTAGTGGCTCTGTTCCTGTCTTTTGGATAGATTTCAATATATGAATGTCAAAAGTTCCAGTATCTCCCCAATGCTTTTCAAAATCTTTTCAAAAGCCAGCTGTGGAATTCTGGGAGTTGAAGTCCACACATCTTAAAGATGCCAAGTTTGAAAAACACTGCCTGAAAGCATACACAGTTTAGGTCCAAACTATTTGAAAGGAAACCTCCTCCTATATGAGCCTTCACTCTTACTAAGATTATTTAAGGAGTTTGCATACATTTATCTGGAATTAAGCCTTTTCACCTGCTGCCCCTGTTCTTCAGAATGCACTCCTTGCCACACTGAGGGCTTGACATCTTCATTAGCTTTCAAAAGGGCTTGCAAAACATCTTTTTATATGAGCTTTTAACTGTTAGTTTGTAATTATGAACTCTATTTTTTTAAACTTTTTGTTTTAATTACTCTCTTCAATGTTTTTATTGTGTTGCTTTTCAGTCCGTTATCACTGTCATCTCTTAAATGACTTTGGTAGCTGGTGCTACATCAAGTCAAATAATATAGTACAGGATAACTATTGGATTGTGCCAAAATTTTATCTTGCTTAATGTCCTGTTTTCCTATGCAATCAATGACATGTATCACAAACATTTGGCAGTCAGTAGAATGTCTCTGTTGATGCTCTCTTGCAAATGGTATTTAGTACAAGTCATCTGAATATGGACATTCCTTTTATGCCATCACAGCTAATAGCTGTTGATAGACCTTGAACATATCCTATGGCAATTGGTTTTGGAAATTAACGAATTTAATTAAACAAATTGAACAACAGCTGCATTCACAACCATTTAACCTGATTACTGAATTAATCCAGTTTTCTGGGTTTGTAGAATTCATTGCACAGAAATCAACCGAGCAGGGTGCACTTCAGACTAAGCCATAAAGAAACTAACGAAGATTAACACAAACCATTCTTAGCATGTAATCCAGATGCAAGCACTAAACGTTTAAATGTCCTGGTTAAATATGTCATGTGAACACAGCCAATATGAAATGGTATTTCCTCTTGTTTTACCAGAATTTACAGACACTGGATTATTTCAGTGTTTCTCAACCTTGGCAACTTTAAGATGTGTGGACTTCAACGTGCTGGCTGGGGAATTCTGGGAGTTGAAGTCCACACAACTTAAAGTTGCCAAGGTTGAGAAACGCTGGATTATTGCATTCGATGTCCTGGGAGAAGGAGAAAAAAAAAATCCTCTCTTTAAAGGAGAGATTTCACTTTTTCCTCCACCAAGTGTGCTGAATTTAAATTAGCCAGTGGTTAAGGAAGACCATCAACAGATGCCAAAATCATGGCAAGAGGTTTCATTCCAAGTAGGAAAATGTGTGGGTTTTTTGTTCATTTATTTATTTATTTATTGTTTCTAAAACACATTTTCCCAGGATTTTTTAAAAGTCAAGATTGCACATTGAACATTCCACACACACTGAGACAAAAATAATCCCTTTGCAAAGTACTAGGGAACTATACTTAGTACTGGGAGAAATGTGATCCTCATGAAAGCATCTCCATTATTGATCCTTGACCTGTAATTGGAAACAGTGTATTTTCTTTTTAAGACTAACAAAGGGCAGAAAATCTGAGCCCTAGAAAGCACAGACTGTAATTCTGTTGGCTACAAAAATACCGCTTGAGATGTATGAATCAGCAACAATCTGGTCCATGGCTTGCTTTAGCAAGGCAGATCCTGTCTCATCTTAATTTCTTTTAAATCAGTGATTTGCATCTGTTTTCAAACATAACTTTCCTTCAATAGTCAAGAATGTTGCAAACATTTCCCCCTAAAGTACCAGCCTTTTAATGGAAATTCCCTCCAAGATTTTTTTGTAAACATGCTTTTCCCTGATGTTCTTTGTGATATAATTTTCCCCTTTCCACACGTATTTTTTAAATCCATACTCCTCCACCATACTGATTGACTGAGTGTCACCAAGTTGTTTTTAACTCCTGGCAATCGCATAGATAGATTGTATCCATGACAATCTATCCCTAACCTGTTATTTAAGCTCTTATATTTCTTACTCAACTACCCCATGATGTATGTAATTTCAGAAACAATATTTTATGGATGCATCTTTCACAAACAAATTGGTTTAATGTGTGTGTGTTAAATTCTGATGGGAGGAATACAGAGGTTAGAGTCCATTCACTGCAATGGCGGAGTCCATTTTCTCATGCGCTGCAAATCTCTTCTTTTAAAACCCCATGGTAGATATTATTTACATCCCTGGCACTTCACAGCATTTTGGGGTAATTCCTGTTTCCCCTTGAACTGGTTTCAGGAAGTTGATGACAACATGGTGTGCATGGTATGAAGAAAACATTCTGCAAAAAAGTTTATGAAATGTCCTTCTAGAAGTCCAGAACACTTGAAACTTCCAAATTAGGCTGTGATAGACATGTCACACCACCATCATGGAAGATGACAGCTTTCTTTGAACCTTTTAATGTGGGATTCAATATTCCTATATAATATCATTTCCAAGATTGTGTGCATTCAAACAAAAGATAATCCAAAGTTTCATCTCTGAATCTCAAATATAATTTGCTGGTCCTGTATTTGGGTTGGGGATTTGGGTTATTTTTGGAAATGCTTGTAAGCTTTCATTACTGTCCTTCAGCCAGAGCGTCTCTTGAGCCTTCAGCATAATGAACTGTAGATCTGGAATGTTTTCATTCAGTCAGTCAGTTAAATTTGGCAGAGAGATAACCAAAGTTCAAATAAATAAAATGTAAAAATAATAATAATAACACCTTCTGTTAAGAGTCTTCCCTGATATTGTGAACAAGAATGGAAGGTTTGATAAAAAATGTCTCCCCTTGTGAGAATTCAGTCTGAACAATTCTTGAGCAATGGATAAGAGGCTTCCTACTTGATAAAATGTTTAATTGTCCACCTTTGTCCTGTGCAGCTGCGGAGGATAAGATCCATACCTGACATGCCTTTATTTTCAACTTCCAAGCAGCGCCCTGTCCCTTTGTTTAGGATTGCACCATGCTGAATTATTTTTAAGAGAGAGAGAAAAAAGAAATCAGTATATAGATTCACCAGTGTAAAACAACTTTCTCCAGCTTGAAATAGGTCAGATTACAATTCCCATGCTGGCTGGGAATTTTTGGAGTTGTAATTCCTGACATGTAAACAAGTAGAATCCCCTTTTTATGGTATTGTCCTATAGCCTCAGGCAAGAAAACTAGGACTACCAGATCTAGGTTGCAAAAACTGGATCAACCATTAGACAACACCAAAGAGCGATAATGTTCTCACCCTTTGCTGCCTCTAGTGGCTATCGTAATTGTTGCAGCCAGATTTGGTAGCCCTAAACAACATTGAATGATTGCTTTCACACAACATGCTTGATCAGGCCCTGATTAAAGACTTAGTAGTATAAGCCTCCCCACCACAACCCCAGGATTACATTAACCAAACCTAACATATACAAACCCAGCCCTCATGGTTCATTTGTATGTTTGGTATATTGTCTGAACCCAGAAGGTGGCGGCAATTCAGCATCTGGGTTAAGTGTGTTATGCAAAGGCAGCCATTGTGCCTCCTCACTGGCTCACTGCAGGGACAGGCAGGGTATGAACCTCCAGATATGGCTGAACTACAATTCCCAGGAGCCCCAGACAGGATGGCTAATGGTAAGGCATGCTGGAACCTTATGCAGCTATATACCAAGTCACTTTCTGTTAACTCAACAGACTGGGCCTGAAGATTTTTGGCCCACTTGCTGAGAATGCAGCAGCCCTGTCCAAGACCAACACAGCTGCCATGGAAGCCCTATGGCCTGGAGGTTGCTAAGCCAGCTTGCCCATGGGGTTGTTGTTCTTGTTGTGGTGGTCCCAACTGGACTCTTCCTTGGTATGCATTAGCTCCACATAGGTTCACAAGTACAAGTGGGCTACTGAGTCAGAGTTAGGAGCCCTGACAAAGCTAATAGATCATATTTGATTGACAGCAGGTGTTTGTAGCCATAACTTTATTCTGTTCTGTTCAGTTTGGAAACCCAGTAACTCTTCAGAGTACTTTCTTTAGAGAAGTCTTAGGAAAATATATTGGCCCACTTGCTGGAAGATCTTTCCCATCCTGACTCGGAATAGTCCAGTGGACTATTTTGTCTTAGGGCCATGCAGGACTTTGGATCTGAAGGCAAAAAAGTCCTCTGGGGGATGCGCGGGCACGCACACCACACCCATCTGCAACTTCTGCAACTTGATGAACTCTCTCAGGATCATGCTGGAACTGAAGAAGGAAATGACATAGCTGCTTTCAGGAACTGCAGCAAAGTTCTGGGTCAGCACCCATTCATGTGCCCAAGATTTTTTTTTTTCTTTTTGCCCCCAAATCTGCCACATAGCCAGGAGCAGCAGGGAGATGGTGTCCAAAAAAAAAAAAAAATCAAGATGGTGGCCTGAAACACCATGTTGATTTTTTGACAGCCTCCCTACTGCCACCATCAACCAAATGCCCCTGCACGTGACCTATCTCATACTGCAGCCGAACAATCTGGGCAGGACAGCTATATATCTGACAGATGTTAGCACATCTGCTTTACTTTCAGAAAGTTCCAGCTTCAGTCTTTGGCTTGTTTGGTCAATGTTGGGAAACCTCCCTGATGCAAGCAAGGCTGGCTTGGAGAGCATAGGAAATTAGGCATTCCAACATTCTTTTCTAGTGAGATGCACAGATTTATTTTGCCCAAAGGCAGCAAAGGAGAATTCTCAGGTTCCACATACTAACTCTTTCAAGATAGCAGAGCTCATGTCATCTCATAGATTAAACTTCACAATAATACACTAGAATTGCTGGACCAGTGGTCTGATTTAATGTAGAGCTGCTTTGTATATTATGAAACGGCTATGGGAACATCGCCACATTAAAATTAAAATGAATACAGTAGAGGTGGGCTGGAATAAACTGAAACTCTCTCTTTAGTTTTATGTAGCTCTAATTTCAGTGGCCTACAATAATTCTTCAGTGCATATTCCACCCACTATTAGCTTTGGCTCCACTCACAAAGTGTGTGGTTTTTTGTTTTTAAAAAATGCCATCTGTTTGAGCCTTCCTTTTGTCAAAACTAGTTAACAAAATGTGTATTCAGAACTGGCCTTTGCTCTGCTGAAGGTTGGAGGGAAGGAAAAAGGAGAGAGTGGGAGATTGGTTTCAGCCCACAGCTAGAGATGATCCAACATTTTATATATAATTGGATAGATGGCCGGGTAGTTTTCCAGTCCCTTCTTCTCCTTTAAATTAAAACAAGAAAACTTTATATTCAGCAATCAACCCCAGTTTTGGAATGGTGAAGGCCTAATCTGGCAACATTACTATTCCTAGTCCCATTCTAAAAGCATTTCAGAAATAGTTGGCTTGTAAAAAATGAAGGTTAGAAAGTTTAGGCTTTAGATCTTCTGAAAGTAAGAATCACACACTTTTACAATCTTTGCAGCAAAGCTGTAAAGGTCATCATACTTCTCACTGTACTTTTATTGGAGGAGAATGACTTACAGAAGGTAAGATCAGACTAAGGTTTAACCCTGTAATATGCTCCAGCAGCAAAAGTGATCTTGAACATGGACTTTTGCTGGGAAAAAAAATTGGCCTGCCACAAATAATTTATCTGCAAATAATTGCAAATGACATGAACCTGTATAAAATTCCAACGCTTATGGAGACTGCTCTTGACTTTCTCACAATCAAGCAGTTGAGGGAGTTTACTCTTCATGTTATCCACCAGGCAGCGGGTATCTGGGAGCAATACTGTGGTTCCAAGAGCTCCTAAATGAAGAAATCCTTCTTTGGTGTAGCGAGCAAGCTAGAGAAGGAGGAGGGAGAAAGAAACAGGCTTAGAGATATGAATATTATCTTCTCCAGCACCACATATGATCTGACAGTGAAAGATAATATGGATTATTATGAACTTAAATGATGTTCTACATAGGTAAAACCATCTCACGTACTGTGTCCAGTTCTGGGCAAAGATTCAGAGAAGCTGTGGAGAAGGTCCAAAGAAAGGCAGTGAGGATAATCAGTGGATCAGAAATTAAGCCTTGTAAAGAGAGATGGGTATGCTTAGACTTCAGAGTGATGGGGATTGAATAGCATTCTTCCAATAACTGAAGAGTTAGTTGACAGTATAAGGCTGTTCTCTGCTTTTCCTAGAGTCTGAATCTATTACAGAAGGCAGAATCAGTTCAGTATTAGAGAAGTCTTCCTAATGGTAAGAAGATAGTGAAAATATTGGCAGAACTGTTGGTTCTGGTCCTGCTCTCTGAGGCAGAGAAAGTAAAGTCTGCTGGCTCTTCTGTATGACAGTCCTTCAGATATTTAAAGAGGGCTATCATATCTCCCCTTAGTTGTCTTTTCTGTAGGTTGAACATACCCATATCCTTTAACTGTTCCTCATAAGGTTTGGTTTTCAGACTCTTTACCATTTTGATTGCCCTCCTCTGAACTTGCTCTAATATGTCACTGTCCTTTTTGAACTGTGGTACCCCAAATTAGGAGACAATACTCCACATATTATCTGACCACGGCAGAATAGAATAGAACAATTACTTACTGTATACTGGATGCTATGCTCCTTTTAATGCACCCCATCTATTAATACATGTGGTGAGGGGCCTGGTGATTTCATCCCCCTTGAATGCAAAACATGACAACTAGAGAGACAGAGAGTTTAGTGCTCTTTTCACTGAAAGACAGTGGAGAAACACCATTCCAAGGAATGGAAATCAAGAGAAAACTTGTATATGTTGAAAGCAATCAGTACACTTTTCTACTTTTTTTATAAATGTGGAATTCCATACATTAGAAATACAGCATAGCCTTAAGCCAGGGATGGGAAACCTGTATTGGCAGATGTTGCTGAATTGCAACTCCCAGCTTCCTTCAACTTTGAATATGCTGATTGTGGCTGCTGGGAGTTGTAGTTCAATAACATCTGGAGGACCACAGGTTCCTTTTTCTATCTTAATCACTATGTAACAGAAGAGGTGGAGAGCTAAGCCAGTGATTCGTACTATGATAAATTCACCATTCCAAGTATGTCTTTTTAGTTTTCTTTATGACATACTGGAAGTTGGGCTAATTAATGGAGCACAGGAGAAAGTAGAGTTCCACAACCACAGGATGTAGTACCCCAATAATAAAAAAACAAACCAACTTAAGATCTGGGATTAATTTCATTTATCTGCCTCAAGGAGAAAATTGCCAGAAAAGATATGGAACTGCAAATATTAAGGGTGCAAGAAGGTTTAACCAATGTTTAAATATGAGCTACAATTTCTGAAATGCAGAGGGTACAAGAGTTGCCTTAACACAGATGGGTGAAAGAGCCTGTTCTGGAGAACCAGACCATCTCTCTGAAGCTTGTTTCAACAATTTCCTGAGTTAGTCTCTAAGCAGGACAAAGTCTAGATCAGTGTTTCTCAAACTTGGCAACTTTAATATGTGTCGACCAACTCCCAGAATATCTCAGCTAGCATGAGAAACACTGGTCTAAATGAACTGATCAAGTCTAACTTTCAAACTGTTGTGAAGATTTCAATATAATGTTTGGGATTGGGGGGAGGTGGGCGATGCTGTGTAAAGTGTTCAGCTTATATAGACTTTGTATCACCCAAGAGATAGCAGAGGCAAGTCTACCTTATCATTTTTCAACTTTACATTTTTGTAGAAGAACCCCTCTCTGTGCCCTATAGAAATGCAATTGATCTTAATTAATGTTAAATTGACACCAGCCTGAAAATTCTGCAAAATACAAGAAGCCCAGAATCATAGCTGGCACACTGCTAACTCAATTTGATCGCTTCTGCTGGAAATTAACACTGAACATCCATCTTCCTTCATTATGGTTTTGGTCGGGGTCTGCATGCTCACAGTGGGAGAAAGTTAATTATATTCTTCTTCTTCTTTTTTTTTTTTTTTAGGCTTGCTAAGTGATGTTTGGAATGGCCTTTAGCAAGTCAGAACTAGAGAATAATAGAGAGCCTTTGGTTTAGTATGGCACAAAAGATTGTCACTATAAAGTCACCATAATTCAGAGTGCAATTGCGGGCCCTGTAGTTGGATTACTGAAATTAAGCCGACATGTGTTAACTTGCAATATTTCTATATATGAGTTAAAAAATACATTGCCAATCAGAGCTCTCTTTTTTCACACTAAGTATAAATACTGCATGCGTTAAATTTCAAGAGATAACTGAATGTTAGAGGAACAAATTGTATGTGTCCATAATTTGCCTAGAAATCCATGCATACCTCATGCAGCAGTGCGATGTTCCAGATTCAGTTCTGAAAGAGTGTTTGGGAGTGCTGAGAAGCATGAACAAAGCACCTCTTGGCGGCTCATTAAGATAGATGAATTCATTTCTAGAAGTCACACAATCTTGGATATGTATGCTTTAATAAGACTCTGGCAGGTTCTCCATGTTAGATTCTATATCAGTACAGTGGTACCTTGAGTCACGAACGCTTCGGTTCATGACCAATTCGGGTCACGAACAGCACCGTTCGCAAAATTTTGCTTCCGTTCACGAACGCTGGATCGGGTGACGAACAGGATCCACGGCCATCTTCCCTGCCATGACACGTGGTCGTGGCTTCCTGTAGGGAGGGGGACCCTCCCTCCAAGCAATAACCACCTCCCCACCCGCCTTCCTGTCCTCCACGCCAGAAGTCACGTCGAGCAAGGTTAGAGATCTCTCTCTTCGTACTGTATTTTGTTTCATATTTTTGTGGTTTTTTAAAAAAAATACATATGGTTCAGAACAGATTAACCATAATTACATTGAACCTTATGGGAAAATTTGATTCGGGACGTGACCAAAATCGGGTC